ATAGAGACATAATGTGACATAATAAATGAAGAATCGAAAGCTTTATCTATGTAAATCGGGAATAATATGCTATGACTTTTCGTGTTATCAATAATGTTTTGAAGTTGGTACACGCCAAATACTTATTTATCGCTTTCTAGAACATAACATGTTTAGGAGACTTTTCTTTTGTACAAGTTTCATGTCATTCATTCTTTTGCAAATTGTGTTCACTTTTGAATCACTTTAGAACTAAACCCTTGTGAGGTTGCTTTCCATTGTTTACTATATGCATGGGAGACCGACAATTTTGTCTTAACTCAATTTTATTATGTTTAATCTTGCACTTATATTGATTCGTATGAAAGCATGATATTATCAAGGCATTTTGTTTGATTTTGAGCACAACCACCTAGCCAAATAGTCAATTTTACCTTATGAGTGTGTGATCATTTGTAACCCCTTTGAGCCTTTTGTCACTATCCATGTTGTTTGAACTTGATGCTTGTCTATGAGTATTAAATTCACTATTTGAATGGATTTTGATTGTTGTTTTTTCTTGAGCCCTCAACTTTGTGTTTTTGTATGAATTTTTTCCTTGCCTTAGAATGTAGGGAGTACTCACATAATGATACAGTTGAATTCAAGTTGGGGAGAAAAATGATTGTGTACTTATTGGTTGATTGCTATGAGGTTGAATAAAAAAAATATAAAAAAAACATTGAAAAAGAAATACAAAAAAAAAGAGTTCGAATAATGTTGTGTTAATAAGTATGGTGCTTTGGTGTGAAATTTGGGATTCATAAGAAGTTTAATTGGAATTTTGTATTTGAATCTTTGGTGAATTCATCACTCCCTTAGGTTTAGGAAAGTTTTTGTTTCAATTAGCCTTAGGAATTATCTCTTGTTTGTTCACCCAAACACGTTACAACCTTTAAAGACCTTGTGATTTTGCTTTTGTGCTTTTCAATATGAATTTGCTTTGATGAATGCATAATTTATTTGTTATTAACAAGATTTTTGGGTGAGAGTTAAGCACCTCATGTTTGTGTTTTTCATCTATCGATGAAGTGTGTGCTAGGTGTGATTCACTTGTGAATATTGTATTGTTTTAGAATTTTTGACATGTGCTTTATATTTAGGAGTTGTTTCATTTTCATGTTATCGTTGTAGTTTAGTGGTAAGTTTTTGTATTGTGTGTACGTTTTTTATTTTGAACCATATATTTGTTTTCCGTTTTAAAAACTTGTTGATTCAGGATTCTTTGATTATTGTTTCTTTGTTCTCTGAGTTGTTTGGCCTTGTTTGAGAACAAACAATGATTCAAGTTAGGGAGAGTTTGATAAGTGCAAATTGTAGTTATTTTTGTATATACTTTTTGTTGCACTTATCGACTCTTGATTGCTAATATCAGTTGAATAACCCAACTTTGTGTATAAATATATTTAGTTTGTGTATAATGCATTTTTTTTGTATAAAGTGTATCGTTTGATAGTTTTATATTTATTTTGTAGGTATTTGAGCATTGTTGGAGCAATAGGAATAAAACTCCAAGATGCATTTTTTGATCAATAAAGGAATAAGGTGAAAGATTGGAGTCATTCCAAGTTATGCAGTAAAAGCAACAAAAGTTGTTGAACTGTCATACGTCGCCAGGCGAAACTTCTGTCGCCGGGCGATAATGGACGAGAAGGCTATTTTTTATGATTATTTCTGTCTTGCTTCGCTACTGCATCGCCAGGCGAGGAATAAAGGTATCGTCGGGCGAAGCTTTCTATCGTCGGGCGATGGAGAATATTCTTGACCTGTTGAGGACGTGGCTTATCCTAGGCCAAGTGAATAAGAGACGTCGTTGGGTGATGCTTTATGTCGCCAGGCGATTCTCGCGGAACAACATTTCTTTATATTTCCTTTTCATTTCATTTTTGGGTGGATGATTTTTGGGATATTTGTTCCCAAATTCCATCACTTTCATTTTTGATAGTTAGAGCTTAGACAACAACATTTGTGGCTTACAAATGGATGATACGGAGTCGTGAGCTTGATGGATCGCATTTCACACCGCGGGAAATCTGGTTTCTTCTCCTCTTCCTCTCTTTGTAACCATTATTTGTTGGATTTTATATGTAACTTTACCTTGATTATATGTATATTTATTGCTCATGGTGTTGTATGAAACTTTCTTTAGAAATCTTTATTGATGTTTATCCTTGTTAGCTTGCTAAATGTTTGGGTTTGAGTCGTCGCAGAGATGGACGGTTAAATCAGAATTTAGGATGGATATCTATTAGGCTTAGATTCTAGAGATAGATTTAGGCTTAGTAATCACTTAGGTATTGACTCTTAATGCTTTCGTGTTATTTTGTGTTGTGCTGAGAGATTGTCGACATGGAGCGACACAATTGATATCTCGCTCTGCATTAGAAATGACCTCTGTGTGAGCGATACATGATGAATTTGACGAGTAGTTAAGGTTAAGTGCAACTGGGTAGTAAGTTTAAGTATGTGATAGAATAGTCGAAATACAAACTCGAGAGTTCTATCCTATTCGAATGATGAAATTCTTCTTGTGTGTATAACTTTTATGTTCATTTATTTTCCTTTCTATACAAACAAACCATTTATCTCCAAACTCATTAACGAATGATTTGTCGAACGATAGTTAAATAATCAATCTCTATGGACACGATACAATATAATCTAAATATCATCCGATAAATTAATAACTTACTTTTTGTTTGCCATTATACCATTGTAATAGTCTGGTCTATGACCTATTATAGACTTTGTTTTTGTCTGACCTTGTCTTTTTAAAAGTATGACATTGACCCGAAAGTCTTTCAAATAGATTTCACCTATGCAACATTATAGGTTGGTCTATATATACATATGCGTGATGATCTATTTAACATATTTTACAATATATATATATATATATATATATATATATATATATATATATATATATATATATATATATATATATATATATATATATATATATATATATATATATATATGTCAACATATTTAATCTATTTTTAATATAAATAAATATATAAAGTGATATATACGATTTCATATACTTTTTAATAGTCTACACTTAACCTTTTTAAATAGTTAGGCTTTTAAAATACTTAAGTCTAACATTTTTATTAAATAGACTTGATTTTAAATAGATTAGACTATAAACCACTATAAACCACTATAAAACAATCTAATTTATTTTCATCCTTAACCTTCGTACAATGTAATATACTCTACTAAAACCTCTAAATTTTATCTGTCTTTATAAGAGGAACACACATGTGCTTTTTTAACACCAAAAATGCATCCACAAATATCATCCTATCCTAGTGCCAAACTGAACAAAAACAAATAAATGTACTTTCAGACATAAGAGTTGAATAATAACCAAACTCCATTTATCTCTAAAGCTTTTTGATTCCATCTCTCCATCTAATTAATCAACCATGGTGCCACCAAATAACAAGGTATGAGTGCTTTCCATTTCTACTATTTGTCACTTTAAAATAGATTGAAAAATTACGTGGTAGATGAAAAAAAAATATTCCAAACATGTAATTTTCTAAAGAAAAGTTAGACAATGTTAAAAAAAAAATTCAATAGTCATTTATTTATATAATATATACGAGTTTTGATTTATTTCTTAAAAAAAAATGTTTAATCACTCTTTTAAAATATTAAAATTTTAAGTTTTTTTGCCTCCTAAATACAAATATTATCCTCTATAAAATATTTTTTTTTATTTATCTCTTCATTTTTACACGTTTAAAAAATACTTAAAAAATTACATAAAGATAATTGAATTTTTTTTAAAGAAAAATAAATCAAAATTCATATTATTACCGAAGATAAATAACTATTAATCCTTTAAAAAAAATTCTTATATAATAAGTATTCAAATGGTTGATTTCAATCTAAAGATTAATAAAATTATTAGATTTAAATAATAAAAATTTTGTAAATTTTTCCAATTAAAATAAATAAAGAAATAAATGACATACATTACACATAAATAACACATTAAGTTCAAAATCAATGAAATATTTTCACATCTATGTAGAAGCACAAATTTCTAGCTTTCAAAATTCATGATAACTTTATATTGAAACATGTAATCAAACATAATACTACTAGTAAATTGTCTTGTGAATATTCTACCAAAAATATTAAACGAAAAATATTTTTGAAATATTTTAAAAATAATATTTGATCCCAACACTAATATGAGAAAATGGAGGCGAGTGTAATAATGAATAGCTCTAGGCGGGAATAAAAGTTTCTAAAATTCAAAAAAATAATTAATAAAAAACAAAAACATTTAAATAAAAAGCTGTAAAAGTGTTTGTTGTGGTCACACACTCCCACTAACACAACACACCCTTCAATTTCACAACTCTTGACTCTGACACATTTTCAATCACATGGCCCTCTTTTATTTATTTATTTTATATTTCAATAAAATAAACCCAACATGTAAATAAAACAAGAAAAAGAACCCTAAACCTTTGTTCTTGTTTGTTGGTGTTAATATACAGTTCCTATTAGTATTCACTGTTACTATTTCTGACTCTTTTTTTTTTTGCCTACCCTTTTTTTATTATTTTATTGCTACTATCATTTAATACATTCGTTTCATCTTCTTTCACATTATTAACACACACTCTTTATTTAAATCTCTAATCTCTCACCATTTCCTTTTCTTGCTTCACTCATCAAAGGTATTTCATCTGCTTTTTTTTTCTTCTTTTCATTTAATTATACTTCATAAAGTTTAATTAAAGAACTCTTTTTTTTTTTGGTAAAGATTTTTTATTTTTTTTTTGGAAATGTTCAATGAATTTAAGTTGAAATAATGGCGGAAATTGAGTGTAACTATCCACTGTTTTATTACATTGGGTTAGTAAATTTGCAGGTATTTGGATTTTTAAATTTGAAGGAAAAATGGGTTTAATGATTTCAGCTCAAATTTCTCTTAAAGTTCATTTTTTTTATTCTTATGAGGAAAGTTGGTTGTGATTGTTAAGAAAAGTTGTCAACTTTGAAAATTTTAGGAATTTTGAAATTTTAGGGATTTTTCTTTTGATGTATGAATGAATCATTGAGATTATTGAAGGGGGAGTTTGTTTTGTTTCTGGGTTTCTGTTTGTTTTGTAAAAAGGTGAAGACTTTGTTAGGGTTTGTTCATGTTTTTGTTCTTTGTGTAGTATTGAAACATTCTGAAATAATGGATATTTTTTGAATTGGGTTTTGTTTTGACTGATATTGTGAACATTTTTGGTACTAATGTATGCAGATGAATGCTCTTCTGTGTTGATGTTGATGCTGATTGGTAGACACGATGACGGATAAGAAGAGATGGTTATGGAAAAGGAAGTCTTCCGAGAAGAGTTCGGGAGAAGCTGAGAGTTCGGGATCTGTTTCTAGTGAGAGGTATTCTGATGAACAGGTATGAATGCTTGATTATCTATGTTCTTTGGGTATCTCAAGAGTGTTAGTCGCAAGATTTGAATTTGAATTTGAATTTGATTTATTTCTTGTATGGCAAACACGCGGACCACTCACTTACTCGCAAGTTAGTATCGACGTTTTTCATAGCTATGCTTGTGTGAATCCTGTATTATCAGTAAAATTTCTGATCAGCATTTTTTGTGAATCTGAAACTTGAAAGCAGGAGGTATCAAAGGAATCTTCTAATGGAAGCAATCATTCACCTGATGTTACCTCAAAAGCTCTGACCTGTGCTGACGACGACGTTGATGATTGTTCAGTTATCAATGAACAACTTCCTGATGGAGTTGCATCAACACATCTACCTTCTTCTACGTGCGTCGTAAATGGTGGTTCATTAGAGAGGAATGAGAATGGAGGAAATGAAAATATATCAAATGGAAAAGAAGATGATTTAAGTGACGCGTCGAGGGATATATCTGAGAAGCTATCTGCTGCTCTTGTTAATGTCAATGCCAAAGAAGACTTGGTTAAGCAGCATGCAAAAGTTGCCGAAGAAGCTATAGCAGGTACACTAATGCTGTTAATAATAAGTACATTCTTCTACTGCTTTCATTTTCTCTTTAAACCTATTTTGTTGTCTTATTAAGCAATTTTGTTTGCTTAGGATGGGAAAAAGCCGAAAATGAAGTATCAGTTTTAAAGAAACAACTCGAGACAGTTACACTGAGGAATTCGGCTCTTGAAGATAGAGTCACCCATCTAGATGGAGCACTTAAGGAGTGTGTTAGGCAGCTAAGACAAACAAGAGAAGAGCACGAAGCAAATATTCAAGATGCCGTTGCCGAAAAGACTCACGAATTGGAATCGGACAAAATCAAACTCGAGAGCAAGCTCGTTGAGATCCAGAAAAAATTAGACGCATCAAATGCCAAATCTTCTATTGACCGTGATATGCGTCAAAAAGTTGAGTGGTTCGAGAAAGAGAATATGGCTCTCAGGCATGAAATCCTAGTTCAATCGGAAGAGCTGAAAATCAGATCAATTGAGAGAGATTTAAGCACTCAAGCCGCCGAGACAGCTAGTAAGCAACATTTAGAAAGCATCAAGAAAGTAGCTAAGCTTGAGGCCGAGTGTCGGACACTGAAGAGCATGGCTTCTAAAGCACCGTTGGTTACTGATCATAAATCTATTGCTTCATCCTCATTTTGTGTTGAATCTCTCACGGATAGTCAATCAGATAGTGTGGAACGACTTGCTGCATTGGATTGTGATACTTACAAGATGAATGGTTCGGAACTAAATAGGTGTGAGCCAAGTGTTTCCGACTCATGGGCGTCCGCATTAATTGCCGAGCTTGATCAGTTCAAGAATGAAAAATGCTGCGGACAAGCTCCATCCGGTTCTGTTAAAATAGATCTGATGGACGACTTTCTTGAAATGGAACGACTTGTTGCATTGCCCGAGACTAAGAACGAAAGCTTTGTTGAGGAGTCAGTTGTTTTTGACAATCAACGCATTGACAAAGAAAGCACACTCAGAGTCGAGTTTGACATCATGAATCAGCAAATGGATGAACTAAAAGGGAAGTTAGAAAAGGTGGAAGCAGATAAGGCTGGACTACAGATAGCTTTGATGGAAAGTAAAGAGTTTATCGAGGAGTCACAACATCAGTTGAGGGAGGCGGAACAGAAACTGGAGGAGCTTCAAATAGAGCTAGAGAATTCCTACAAATCAAATCAAAAGATAGAAAATCTCTTATTAAGCATGGAGGCAGATAGTCGAACACTATCATCCAAAGTCAACTCATTAGAAGCCGAGGTTGATAATGAAAGGGCTGTGTCACATGAAATTGTGATGAAGTGTGAGGATCTGGAAGAAGAGTTAGAAAGAAAATCTTCAATGCTTAGCTCATTAGAAGTTGAGGTTGAAAAGGAGAGGAACACGTCGCATGTATTGGAAAAAGAGTTAGAAAGCAAATCTTCCATGCTTGGCTTATTAGAAGTTGAGGTCGAAAAGGAGAGAAACACGTCGCATGCAATTGCAATAAAATGTGAGGGCCTAGAGGAAGAGCTAGAAGGAAAATGTGCAAAGGTTGAGTTGTTAGAAGCAGAGGTTGTCAAGGAAAGGGCCGTGTCGGATGAAGTTGCTGCCAAGTGTAAGAACTTGGAGGAAGAGCTAGAAATCAAATCTGCAAAGCTTGAGTTATTAGAAGCAGAGGTCGAAAAGGAGAAAGCCATGTCTGAAGAATTTGCAATGAAGTGTAGCGAATTGGAGGAAGAGATACTCAGGCCAACATCTAGCTTGTATGGAGAAAAGAAAATCAAGCAGGTTAGTCATCATTATGACTTCTATACAATGATTGCACTCCTCAAACTATACTTCGTAGAAATTTATGTCTTAGAAGTAAAAAGGTTATTGAAAAATGAAATCTTAGATATCATAGACTCTATAGGCTATAGCATGACACCTCTAAAAAAAGCTCTATTGTTGTGCCAGTGTTGCTGTCGTGTTTGGGGTGTCAATGCTTCATAGATTATAGGTTAAGTTTTTTATTGCTTATATATGAAATTGGAGGTACTTTCAAGTCAAGTGAACTCATGCATTTGATCTTTTCCATGACAGGAGGACCTAGCCCTCGCAGCCGGGAAGCTCGCAGAATGCCAGAAAACAATAGCATCTTTAGGGAATCAGCTAAAATCTCTTGCCACACTTGAGGATTTCCTTATCGACACTGCTGGGATTCCTTCAAGTCCATCATCACTCATTGCTAATGCTAGTGGCGAGATGTGGAAGATGCATTCAAATTACACATTTTCACCTAAAAGAGATACCATTTCTTCCAGGTTGCCTGATGCTAGCTCTGGTCTATCCCTAAACAGAAGTGAGGAAAGCTCGCCACTTACGTCGTCTCCTTCAGCTTCATCAGTAGCCTTGCCAAATCACGCCAGTTCTGAGAGGAGTCGAAATGGTTTCGCAAAATTTTTCTCGCGAACCAAGAGTGGCATTAGGCTAGAAATTTAGTAGTAATTCTTTTACTCAAGTTGTAGACAGGTTCATTTTATCATTCAATGAAAAAGACCCAATTTTACTCATTTGCATCAATTATTATATCTTTTTTTTTCTTTAAAGTCTTGTGTTGGTATCACATGCCTTTTGCATTTGAACACTATGAAACATGAACGCTGAGATTAAACCCAATACTGATATATTAAAAGTTCAACAATTAATGTTGTAAGAAATGTCAACATGGTAGGTAACCCTGTATTTTGAAACACAATTGAAAGATTAGTGCTTAAGAAATGCCATTATTTGCGCATAATTAATGTTCATCAAGTGTACTAAGTGGTTTATTTAATCCTAATATTAATGGATAATAAATGTAACATGGCATAGCGTGGTCCATAATTTTTACTTTTATTTCATCTTTTCTACTTAGTGTACATTGTTAAATTGCATGCACGTATTGCTAAAAATCTGAGAAAATTAAGAAAAAATATTTTGGGGTGAGAGAGGCTCGAACTCTCGACCTCAGGATTTCTCAGAAGCTATGAGACCTACGCGCTAGCCAACTGCGCCACCACCCCTTGCTGTTACTATTTCACATAGGATACACTAAATGAGATTTGAGAAAAATAAACAAAAAGTTAACTTCACTCTAAAGGATTTGGGGTTAATTTCTTTGTCTCTACAAAATATGAAAGTTTACTATTATGATTTGTTTATTTGGTAGGTTGGCGATTCAGAATACAATGTTGTTATTTCTAATCTGGGTTAATGCCTTGCTCCTGCCAATTGCTCAATGCATGTCTCCGTCTATATATATTCTGCTGTTGTCCACTTTATTTGTGATTTAAATTCACAATTTTCACTGCCCATTATCATCACTGCATGACATGTTTATATTATACATGGTAGTGTGCCATTTTCACAGTAATGTATAATTTTGTTATTTATAATTTGATTTTTTATTATTTCAATTTGCTTATAATTCATTTATTTGATTTGAACTCTATCTTGATTCACCCTCACATCCAATAATAAGATTTGAGTCCATTTCAGTGTGTTTTAAACATAAGTTAATGTAAATATCTTATGTTTATTTTGAATCACAAGTTAGAAAACTTAACATCAAGTTTTTTAAAGTTTGATTCGAATCAAACATCGATTTTAACTATGGATTTTGTCACAGACTAGTTAATTCGAATCATGGATGTGTGACTCGAAACAAAACAGTCATTGATTCGAATCACAGATTCTTTTGAATCGAATCATGATCATACACTTTTTGAAAAATCAACCATGATTTAAATCACTTCTTTGTTTGGCTCCAATTATGGGTGTTAGATCATAATTCAAATCAAATTGACATTTCTCACATTTTATCACCTTGATTCAAGTCATTCTTTTTTCTTTGAAAAACAATGTTTAATTAAAAGATCTTTGATAAAAACAATTATTTAAAATATTTTTGTAAAGATTAAACAGCCGAATAAATAAGTATTGTAAAAACATAGTAGAAAACAAATTTGAGCACAACAAATATAAGCAAACAATAAAATTAAAAAGATATAAGAAATAAGAGGATTGAACCAAAGATTTAAAGAGGTTCGAGCTAACTGCATGACTTACTCCTCTCTCCAAGAATTTTTTCTAGAGACTTTCCACTATATGTTTGAGCTTTTAACAGGTTATACCCACAAACCTTCTTACAATAAAACTTGAGATAGTACTAAATGGACCATATACCTCCTGATCGAGTACCCCTTGAAGTTTTAGTTTTAGGCCAATAACAACCAATGTGAGTATGTAGCCCTCATCGCCAGTATGGTACTAGCTCTTGAGATATGCACTACGAGTCTCAAACCCAGATGCGACTCACAATTGGTGGCAAATCATGTCTCTAAGAAATATCAAGCAAATGAGCCTCAACTGATCAGATATTTAAAAAAAGATACGTGAATTATATAAACATTTTATTTTATTTAGATAACATATGTTCCCAAGGAACAAAACTCTAGGGCTAATCTTCTCTCCAAGCTCGCCCGCACAAAAAGAGTAGGCTATAATTGGACCCTAATTCAAGAAACTCTCTCGTCCAGATATTATGTTTAGTGTTTGCATGTGTGCTCGGTTTCAATCATGTTCTAAGGAGTCACATTTAAAATCCGTAAAGCGCATACTTAGGTACCTTAGTGGTACAACTAAGTATGGACTTTGGTACTCCAAGGGTAGTGATTATTCTTTGGTTGGATATTTCGATTCTGACTTTTCCGGTTGCAAATCGGATAGGAAAAGCACTAGTGGTACTTGTTATTTCTTTTCAAATTCTTTGGTAAGTTGGCATAGCAAAAAGCAAGTTTCAGTTGCATTGTCAATCGCCGAAGCGGAATATGTTGCAGCCGATAATTGTTGTGCCCAAATCTTGTGGCTCAAACAACAATTACTCGATTTTAATGTCCAACTTGATCATATTCCTATTTTCTGTGACAATACAAGTTCCATCAACCTAACCAAAAATCTGATTTTGCACTCCCGCACAAAACATATTGAGATAAAGCATCATTTTCTAATGGATCATGTTGAAAAGGGTGATGTTATTTTCGAGCATGTTGATAGCAAAAATCAACTTGCTGGCATTTTTACCAAACCACTCACTACGGATCCCTTTCATCATATTCGTAGGGAACTTGGTGTTCTCGATATCTCGGATAGGTTGTAATGTAAGTAAGTTGCATACCTTTTAGTTTATTGAACATATTCTCTTAATGCTTGATGCTCTTATGAATAGCCTTGGTTAAAGCTCTTATCAACTCTCATAGGGATTCTAAGAGTTACATAAATTGCATGAAATCAATTGAAAAAGGTGCATAAAAACAAAACTCTTTAATTTTGAGTCGACTCATAGCTTACATGCGTCGACGCATACTTTAAAGTTCACTCAGTATCAATTGAAACAATTCTTGCATCGACGCAACACTCTGTGAGCGATCGACGCATCGTGAATAAATTCTGAATTCTATTTATTTATCACTTTGCTATTTTCTTTTCTTTATTCACTTTCCTATCACAAAACCCTAAAACCTCTCAACGCCTATCTCTCTCAAAACCAAGTGTACCTCACATACCCATCTCTTTCAAGATATTTCCCTAATGGATTCAAGGGTAGCTAAGAAGAGAACCTTGAGAGGAAGCTCCTCCAATATTCAGTCAGATAATCCGGTAACTTCTCTTTCACTTCTTTCTGATGACATTGCTGGTACTTTTGCTGACACTTTTGGTAAGAGAAACATAGTTAGACAATCGACTTTATATATGAAAACCTTGGGTCATATGCATCTTCCTGAAATTATTGAATTGTTAAGATTTCAGAACTTCCACTTATTTCTTGAATGTGATACAATGTATAATGAGGATTTAGTCAAAATGTTCTATGCTGGCATGCAAGGAAAGTTTGAGGGTTTTGAATTTAAATATAGAATGAACAATAAATATTATATGGTTAGCTCGCATGTTTGGAAAGACCTATTTGGTATGTGGCCAGTTGACTCTGATGCTATTAAAATCTCTGATACCGTTCTTGCTCCCAATTATGAATTCAAGTCGGCCTTAAACTCCATGCTGAAGAAACCCTACAGTGATAGAATAGTTAACAGTGATTTATTCCCAAGATCCGTAACAACTGGTGCCTTATCCCCATTTGACCGAATTCTCTTTTGGATCGTTTGCCATATCATTCGACCCAAGAAGTGTGGTCTTTCTCGTGTGGATAAACCTGAGGTTCAACTACTGTATGTTTTAAAACATAAAATAAAGGTTCATTGGCCACACTATTTTTCTAGCCGCATATTTGATTTGCATAACTCTAGAAGAGGCACCGCACTATGCTATCCCTCTTTCATTCAAAGAGTTCTCAATCGAGAAAAGATTAAAATTGCAGGAATTCCTTATGTTGGTATGACCTCTGATCTTGAATTCATAAAGAAATCACTGACCTTGATGGGCTTCCAATGGGATCACAAGGAACAAAAATACCGTTATGTTATGAGAAGCACATCCATTTCGTTCCAAAATAGTGATGATGAAGAGGATGATAATGAAGAAGAAGAAGAGTCTGGGGAAGAAGAAAATGAAGCAAATATGGACGAGGATGTCCCGACTGCTCAAGAAAACAATGCCAATGTCATAACTCTTTTGGAGAAAATGCAACTCCGACAAAAGGAAGATGCACTCCTTCAAAATGAGAGGATTTCAAACATCTACAACCTTGTCAAAGTTCAAAACTAAATGTTCTCAAACTATTCAAATATTCAAGATCAGCGATACTTCACGTTGGAAGGCATGCTTCAATCACAAACTGAGAACCTTGCCTCTCTTTATTTCACCTTCTTTCAACATTTTCCAAACCTTCCACTTGATGCTCCAGAAAACAATAATACCGACAACCTAGAAAATTGATTCATGTTTATGTAATCCAACTTAAGTTCTTATGTTGTCCTTCTTTTGATAACATCATACAATTATTCTTATGAACTAGTTTGTAATATTCTACATACATTTGTCTAATTATTGCATTTTATGATCCACACTTATTTCATTTTATGTGAACAATTGTTGGTGTTATTAGTTGCAAATGGAAAATGATGTTGCATTTAATATATTTTGTTACTTTTGACCTTGTGCTTTATCTCTTTGGGTGATTCGAGTCATGAAAACTGTAATTTGAATCACATGATTCAAGTAATTAGAAATGTTGATTCAAAACTGAGTTTCAGAAGTAAAGCAGGAAACCTACAGTTCAATGTGATTTGAATCAAGTAGTCTTGTGATTCGAATCAGAGTGTTATGGTTCGAATCATGAAGTCCGTGATTCGAATCGTGGAAACTAGAAAATGACCCCCGAACTTTCGATAAGTCTAATTTTAGTCAGAATGACAGTTTGATTCGAATCACACTACTAAATCTCACTTTTACAAAATTTCAAGTGATTTTTGAGATTCCAATATGGTCATGACTAGAAAAAT